GGGAAAAGCTCATAGGTTGCGGTGTGGTACTTACATACCTTTGGCCACATTTTTCTTGGGTATCAGCAGCTGGTGTCAGATGGCTGCCAATCTCATATTTGATGTCCTGTTGATTTACCTGTGGGACATATTGAGGTGAAGTGGCTGGATCGGGGATTGGACTGATGTCACATTGTTTTATCGGCGTAAAGTGTTTGGGGTCCGGCAAGTCTTCTCTGCGATGCTCTGGTGAAGAATATCCAAGATAACTCTGTAGTCTGTATGACTGGGTTGAAGCTGGAAGCTGGAGTAGAGCGTGAGAGTTCAGCGCTGGTTGTGAGTTCTCTTGACCCTGTCGTGATTCCCCATATTGTTTTTCTGACACACGAGATGACCACATTTCCCCGATTACCTCCTCTGCTATTGCTGCTTCAAATACATTGGCTTCAGCGAGCGCAGCTTCTGCTTCCTTTTCTTCTTTTAGTGCTTTTAATGTAGCACTTAACTCTGCTTGCCTCATTTTCACCTCAATCTCCCGTTGTCTAAACTCTCCTCTGGCGCGTGCTGCTTCGGCCTTTGCCCGTGCTTCGACTGCTGCTTTGGCGAGTGAGCTGCGGGATCTGGATGTAGATCCAGAGCAGGTGGACCGTACCTCCAGCTGCAACTCCTCTGCTGACAGCATAGTGGCGTCTGGGTCAGATGTCTGGAAGACTGCCTCCTGAAGTAGCCGTTTCGCCAGTCTTTTTACTGTTCTGCCCTCGCACTTAACTAGGCAGACAGACAACCATCATCCCATGTAGAAAAACCACACCGTTGTTCCTTTCTGGTGGATTTATTTGATTGGATGCATAGCATGGCTTTGTCGAAATACATGAATGGATGAATGGTAAAAAGACTGTGCTGGCTTAAGAGGTAGCATAGGCAGGCACAGGAGTAGCAAACTGTCCTTCTCCCGTTAGACAGGAAGTAATGAGAAGTAGCACTTCCGGTAGAATGTCAAAATAAAATGAACAGTGTGCCAGAAACGAATAAAGATTGCATGAACTTGTATAACACTACATAAAATGAGTGGTGACTCTTAAGGAGCCAGAACAAGGTCCCTTGTGTAGCACTGGAACCCAGTCACGATGTTTCATCCATTTCATAGGCTGGTTTGCTGCAATAATGCCAAATAATTAGCATCTGTATAGATAGAAGGTAGTTCTGCAAAATCACTCAGTAGGATGTTTGTTCTAATTTGCTATGACCTCAGAGCGCATCGAAAATAAAACTAATAGGCTATAAAGAGTGATATGAACATATTTAGAACTTACCGGAATGAAAATGTCTGGAGCACCAACAGATATCTGGAGATGGAAGAGAACTGGATATCAGCTCGTCTCACAGCTGCTATCCAGGCTAGACGCCTTCGTTTGGTAACATCAATACACGAGCTGCCTTATGTTGCTTCCAAGTTGGGAAAGAATGAAAAGATAAACCATTTTCAACCTTATTCTCTTGCCGGTGTTGTGTGTGACTTCGCTCCCTTTTCACTTGCGCTAGACCCCCAAAATGGCGGATCGGGCCAAAATCCTTTCCACGCCCACCCCCCGTGACATCACGCTCCAAAGCCCTATACCTAGGTGTGAGGAACAGGGAGAGATGGTCCGATTGTCCAATGTGGGGGAGGGGTGTGGCTTTGTAGGCTCCAGCCAGGTTGGAATACACATGGTCTAAAGTCTTGTCTCCTCTGGTGTGGCAGGAGACATGTTGGTGGAATCTGGGGAGGACTGTCTTTAAGTTGGTGTGGTTGAAGTCGCCAGCAACAATAAAAGCAGCCTCAGGGTGTTTATTCTGGTGTTTGTTAATGGCTGCAGAAAGTTCTTTCATGGCCAACCTAGCATTAGCGTCGGGGGGGATATACACGGCAGTGAGTATGATAGAAGTGAGTTCTCTGGGGAGGTAATAAGGTCTGCATTTGACCATTAAAAACTCCGCATTAGGTGAGCAGTGACTCTCGGTAGTAGTGGAGTTCATGCACCAAGCATTGTTAATATAAATGCACAAACCTCCACCTCTGGCCTTGCCGGAGTCATCTGCTAGCCGGTCGGCTCAGTGTGTGTGGCGTCCTGCTAACTCGATAGCATTGTCCGGGCAGCTGTTGTTCAACCATGTTTCGGTGAAAAACATGACATTTGAGTCCATAATCCGTCTGTTGTTAGTGATGGAGAGCCGTATCTCATCCATTTTGTTTGCCAGAGAACGGATGTTGGTGAGGAAAATACTGGGTAAAGGCAGCCGGTGTGGTGTTAGCTTTAGCTTAGCCCGTAGCCCTCCGCGCCTACCTCGCCTTTGTTTACGATCTCGGTGCCGTCTGTGTGCACTTCCACCCGGCCGGGGAGAGTGGGCAGCCTCCGGTGTTCTGGAGATCTCTGGGATGAGTCAGAGATCGGCGATAAAACTGTGCAAACGAGCTGGCCCCAGTGTTTTCTGGCATCTTCAACTCCTCACTGCAGGCATGTCATGTGCCTGCCTGCTTCAAGTCCTCTACCATAATCCCTGTCCCCAAGAAACCTAGGATCACTGGACTAAATGACTACAGACCCGTGGCTCTGACATCTGTGGTCATGAAGTCATTTGAGCGCCTAGTTCTCTCCCATCTCAAGACCCTCACGGCCCCCCTCCTGGACCCCCTGCAGTTTGCATATAGAGCCAACAGGTCTGTAGACGACGCCATCAACATGGCCCTACACTTCATCCTGCAGCATCTGGACTCCCCAGGAACCTATGCCAGGATCCTGTTTGTGGACTTCAGCTCTGCCTTCAACACCATCCTTCCAGACCATCTCCGAGGCAAGCTTTCCCAGATGAATGTGCCTGATCCCATCTGCCGGTGGATCACTGACTTCCTGACGGACAGGAAGCAGCACGTGAGGCTGGGGAAGAATGTCTCGGACTCCCGGACCATCAGCACCAGCTCCCCTCAGGGCTGTGTTCTTTCTCCTCTGCTCTTCTCCCTGTACACCAACTGCTGCACCTCCACCCACCAGTCTGTCAAGCTAATCAAGTTCGCAGATGACACCACCGTCATTGGGCTCATCTCTGACGGGGATGAGTCTGCCTACAGGAGGGAGGTTGAACGTCTGGTGTCTTGGTGCAGCCACAACAACCTGGTGCTGAATGCCCAGAAGACAGTGGAGATTATTGTGGACTTCAGGAAGCACACAGCCCCACTCCCCCCCATCATCCTGACTGACACCCCCATCACCTCTGTGGACTCATTCCACTTCCTGGGTACCACCATCACCCAGGACCTGAAGTGGGAGCCCACCATCACCTCCGTCATCAAGAAAGCCCAGCAGAGGATGTACTTCCTGAGGCAGCTGAAGAAATTCAACCTGCCAACACGGACGATGATGCAATTCTACACTGCAATCATCGAGTCCATCCTCACCTCCTCCATCACCGTGTGGTACGCTGGAGCCACTATCAGGGACAAACAGAGACTGCAGCGTGTTGTGCGCTCTGCTGAGAAGGTGATTGGCTGCAGACTCCCATCTCTGCAGGACCTGTACACCTCCAGGACACTGGGGCGTGCAGCTCGGATCTCAGCTGACCCTTCTCACCCTGGACACAGTCTGTTTGACCTGCTCCCCTCAGGCAGGAGGCTCCGGTCCATTCGCACCAGAACCTCTCGCCACAAGAACAGTTTCTTCCCCTCTGCTGCTGAACACATGAACAATAACCACATGACTGTCCCCGCCACTAACACATGACCCTACGCTGTGTCACTGCATCATTTCATGTCTGGCACTGATCACCACCTGCACTCATGTATATATCTTTCTACGTAGCACTCATAATTCTTATTCTCATGTATATATGTTTGGCACTGATCACCACCTGCACTCATGTATATATCTTTCTACGTAGCACTCATAATTCTTATTCTCATGTATATATCTCATGTATATCTCATGCACATATCTTTCTTTCTACATAGCACTTTAATTCTTATTGTCTGCACTGAAGCACCGCAGCAATTTCCTAATGTTGTAAACCTCAACATCTGGCAATAAACCCATTCTGATTCTGATTCTGATTCTGGAGTTATGAGTCCAGATGTCCAGAAGCTCTTGTCTGCTGTAGGTCAGCAATTCTGGATGAATAATCTGATGAAAAGTAGATAAAAAACCGCTAAATAGCAGATTCTGGAGAGACACTGAGCCTCACGTTGTTCACGCGCCACCATCTTGGTCACCAGTAGTTAGTGAGCACTTAAAAGCATAGAAGGAAGTGCTTGTGTGAATGGGTTTTCATGGGTGAATGTGGTGAATTGCTCTTCGAGTGCTCCAGGAAAGTAGAAAAGCACTATACAAAAATCAGTCCAGTTGCCATTTAGTCCAGTATGTGGTTTAGCATTGTCCTGCTCTAATATGTCTTGATGAAAGCATATGGTGTTCTAAAATTTATATATACCTTTAAATAATATAATAATATATATAATATAATAATTTTATATATACCTTTGAGCATCGATGGTGCCTTTCCAAACAAACTGGTAATTGCATATACACGAATGCAACCCCTTACCACAATGGAGGCAGACTTTGAACTGATTGCTGATGGACCTTCTCTTCTTTAGTCCAGAGGATCTTTTCCATAAAATAATTACAATTTTTGATTCGTCTGACCATAGAAAAGTTTTTGAAGAGCAAGGAGGTCCTGCGTTAAACTCTTTTTTAAAATCCTGTAAATGCGATAAGTTGATTGATACCACAGGCACGTCTGCTAGAAGGGTAAGGGGTAACACAGGCGGTTGCCAGTATTTTCCAGCCTTCTGTTGTGCCTGTGCCAACTTCTTTGAGATGTGTTCTTGTCACCAAGTTCAAAATGAGCTCATGTTTTTCCTGAAATAAAATGTTGTAGCTTGAGCATTTGATTTGCTTTTTTAAATTCTTCTACTGATGGCATATGGGTTTATGAGATTTGCAGTTTACACACACTGTACCATAACTCTTGTTGCCATCTCCCTCCAACAGATTTAGAAGCTCAGTACTCTCTTACCCGGGCTCAGCGGGTCAGGGCTGCCATGTTTCCAGAGACTCTGGTAGAAGGGGAGGCAGCCATGCCTGTCCAGTCAGATCCCTCACAGCAGAGCAATGTGCAACGACTGGCTGAACCTTCTCGGCTGCTAAAGACAGCTCTCGTCCACCTGATAAACTACCAAGATGATGCTGAACTGGCCACCAGGGCAGTGCCAGAACTCACCAAGTTGTTGGGAGACGAGGATCCGGTACAGAGCTCACACAATCAATTACTAAGGATTAGCTTGTTGAACACCAAGGAAACAGTGTTTTTTTAGATGGCTAGCTTCTTTATTTTCTAGGTTGTCGTGAACAAGGCGGCCATGATTGTCAACCAGCTAACCCGTAAGGAGGCCAGTCTCCGCGTGCTGGTGCAGTCTCCAGCCATGGTGGCATCCGTGGTGTGTGCCATGACGACAACAACTGACATGGAGACGGCACGTTGCACAGCCAGTGTGCTTCACAGCCTATCGCACCAGAGGGAGGGACTGCTGGCCATATTCAAGGCTGGAGGGATACCAGCACTGGTCCGAATGCTAAGGTACAAATACTTAGATTGTTGTTATTAGAATTATGTTCAATGATTTTGCCTTGTCAGCACTTAGGCTAAAACATTATGCCAAACTGCCTTCTATACACCAGAGGCTTTGCTATACTTGGTAGCAGAATCTGGCAAATTGTGTCCTGTTATCTGGACGTAGTGATTATGCTCATTGTCAACGTGGTTTGGCAACGTTACCTTGAATCTAAACCTTGTACATCTGTTGCAAGCAGGACTTTAAAGTATTGAACATTTCAGTGCTTGAAATATGTTTTAAGGGCTTTGCAGAAAAAATGGCTGGGAATGACGTTCATGAAATGAAGTACATAAAGATGAAATAATAATGAACATTTCTAGTACTATAATTGATACAAATAAAAAATAACAATTTGTACAATTATAAATAAGGCAAGCATATGGCAACTTAAAATACTTACATACTGAAAAGCAAAACACAGAGGAAGGCCATTACAAATGCTCTAAATATGAATCTTTGACTTATTAATGTCCAGTCCAAGATGTAAAAAAAACCCCAAACAAACTGCTGGTCATTTTGAATACAGCACTTACTAAGAATGCAACCACCAACTTTCTTTTACACTTTTCACTGATTGTCTATTTGTCTCTAAACAGAAAATAGTTAAGAAAAAGGCAACATCAATGCTAAACCCCAACACCGTACAAAATATGGGACAGCCAGGAGCAAGGAAAGAAAAAACTAAGGAAAAACAAAGCTCAGACACACACATGCATGAGGAATGGGGGAGGCCAGAGCAAAGAACTCAGACAAACTGAGGGAATAAATAAACAAACTGATGAGGGCAACAGGAGAGGACATTTGTACCTAACTGGGATGTAAAATTAAATAAAAAGCACAAGAGACAAAGGTCTAACAAAATAAAACAGGAAGTAAGTGAACTTGGAACAGTAATGTGGACTTGAGAACAAAGGTAGAGCAGGCATGCACACGTTCGGACAACAATGTTAATTGTACTAGACCGTCCTTTCTGTAGAAATACAAGTAAAGTTTTCTGGCAGAAATCAGACGTCTAGATGTTTGAAAGGCTGACAAAGTCCACACACAGCCAGGTCCTGTACTGTACTGTCATTTGAAAGACTGAGGTTTGTGTCTTTTATGAAACTATTGAAATATAATTGCTAGATTCATTTGAGTGGTTTTCATTTAATTACATTTAGCTAGACAGCAGAAATATCTGCTCAAGTTAAATATTCAGTTTAACATTATCCACCTTAACGTGGTTATGGTTATGGGAAGATCAGTCACTGTGCAACCGCAGTGAGAGCTTGGTCCCCATTTAGGCAATACGTTGGACCCATTCCACCCATTCACAACAACAGTCACCTCTAGCTGAACCAGGTTTAGGGAGGGGCAGCCATCTGCCGCTACCGGTTCAGGGTAATTGGAAGAAGGCAGATTAAAGCTCTGACTGTTGAGGAGAGTCAGAGATTAATTATAATTAAGTATTAAGCATTAAATACAGAGTGGTGTATAAATACAAAGTGAAAAACAACACTCGGTGCATCATGGAAAGCTCACAGCAGCTTAAACCTATTGCACCAAAATTAACGGTGATTCACGGTCCACTGATCTGCTCCTAAACTATATGCTTTATCAAAAATGATAGTTTTAAGCCTAATCATAAAAGAAGAAAGGGTCCCTGTCTTCAAAATCAAAACTGGAAGCTGGTTCGGCAGAAGAGGGACTCTGAAGCTGAAGGCTCTGCCTCCCATTCGATATTTACAGTAAATATGCTAGGAACCACAAGTGAACAGCAGTCTGAGAGCAAAGTGCTCTATTGGAGTGTTATGGCACTATGAGGTCTTTAAAATAAGCATGGGAGGAACAGGGGAAGAACACATGCTGCTAGTGATTTCACTATGAGCTAAGTTTTTGTAGCAAATCCCTAAAGACAAAGTTAGTATTATGATTCAGCAGGGTGTAGAAGATTATTCCATGAAATGAGTTATTATAAAAGGAAAAAAATAGATAAGCTACACAAAAAAACTTTTGGCCAGTGGAACAGGAACAGGAAATAATACCACACCACAGAGAGAGCCAACACCAAGTAGGGGCGGAACCACCAATTCCTGTGGTTAGAGACCTCCAGCTTGCAATGGGGCATTTTGCTGCTGAGTGTAATACAGCGGGAATGAGAAACAATTGTTCCAAGTTGGATGCCAAGATTCTCAGGCGAAAAAGGGTAGAGTGCTAACGTCAAGGCAGAAATGAGTTGCTGCCCCAAACGAAGGAATTCAAGTATCTCGGGTTCTTGTTTACGTGCAAGGTGCAAGTGAAGCGGGAGACCGACAAATGAGTTGTTGTGGCATCAGCAGTGATGGACCTCTGTATCGCTCTGTGGAAATGAAGAGAGAGCTGAGTGTGGAAGTGCCCTGTTTTACTTAGGGTCACAAGCCCTGGGTAGTAAGAATAAGATTGCAGATACAAACGGCAGAAGTAAGTATATATACACTTTAATAATGAAGTGCATTCATGAATAATATAAAGTTTACGAAAAATTGTTTCCAGGGGTTAAAGGGATAGTACTTATTTAAAAGTCCTTAGAGTACTTATATGCTTAAGATTTTCTCCACCTTCTTTACATTTTTATATGTGAGTGTTTACTGCATGTTGCCTCCTTGATATAGATACCCTGTAGCCCATATCCTCTTTACCAACATACCCAGTGGAACAAGGAGCTTAACAAAGTTTATCAACAGACAATTGTAGCAGATGTTGCTAACAGGCTAGCAGTACTGATTATGGGAACTATTCCAACCTTCAGGAAGGGCTGCTAAATAATTCCATACACTCAGGCTTAACAGAAGAGGATATTTCACACTCATAATTGATGTGGGAGCTTAATTTGTACAGAAAATGAAAGAAAATTGAATTTAAAGAAGAGAAAATGAAAAAGAGCTTGACAGAGAGAGCCCTGCTTGGTGCATCAATGCTATCAACATGCAGATTTCCTTTCTATGTCCTCTTTACTTCTGCCTTTTAATACAAACTCAACCAACATTACCCTCGCTCCATTCTTTCCCATGCAAATCTGACCTATTCATATGTATTATATAAGTTTTTCAAAAACTATTTTAGATATTTTGGACAGTATTGTGATCCACGATAAAATAGAATGCATTATTTTCAAGCTAACTTTTGATTCATCTTTTACACATGTTTATTACATTTTTAGCATTAACAACATATTTTTTTAGGTGTTTTGCACGAGTGTTTCCAGGTCATCATCACATTTCTTGAACCTTTCTTTGATCAATGATTGTATTAAATAGAAATAATAATAATAATAATAAAGTAATAATTACACACTTTTAAAGTTTGCTTTAATATGTTATTAATGTGTTATTGAATAGAAGCAGGCAGTTTTGCATTTTGCAGCGCTGACTCCTGCTTATTACCCAGAAACTGCCAAACATACATAATTGCATTTAACAAGCCTGAACAATAAACACAATATTTACATCATTGATTTTAAGCAAAGCAGAATGCTGGAAACCTAAGTTAGGATTAATTTAATCACTTTATTATTATGCTAAAACATCAGCAAATGTAACCTCATTATTATGAGGCTATTACCATTTAAAGCCTTCTTACAAAAAAACAAAGAAAAGAAAAGTCTAATGCACAGATATTACCTTTTTATTGCTAGCAGGTTATCATATTGTTACCAATGTATTCTGCAACTATTACTAACTGGTTTTGCCTCATTGCCGAAGCTTTTTTCCACATTATTACCCCGTGTTGTTGGACCCTTTTTGTCCAATTAAATTAATTTCAGACTAGCAACTGCAAAAACGTCTGCTTGAGCAAAGCGGCCATACTGTCATGGTCCTGGGTCGTGTGACCCAGTGTGTTATGCTTAACCTATTTTGATGTTTATTGTTTGCTTAGGTTCTTTAAGGTAGTCCAGCCCTTTTTGTAATTATGTTACCCTTGCATTACGTCTCCCTTGCCCTTCGTGTGTTTATGTCTGTGTGTCTTGTACTGTCAAGTTCATGCTGTCAGTTATGTCACCTCCCCCTGTACTACGTCTCCCCGGTTCATGTCTCATGTTTCTTGTTTTACTTTGAAGGCCTGCATTCACTGTCTGTGTATTCAGCTCACTCCTCCTGTCCTGTCGTTAAGTTCATGTGTGTCAGCTGCGTTCCCATGTGTGGCCACTTCCCCTGATCATCCCTCATGTGTATTTAGTCTCTGTGTTTCTTACAGTCTGTGTCGCGTCGTCTGTGTTATCTCCCCTACCCCTTGTCATAGTTCCCCAGCCTTAACTAGTCCTAGTTTGTACTTTGTTTAGCCATAGTTTTCCCAGTCTATGTTCAGGTTTTCCCTCAGTTGCTTTGCTGCCTTGTTCCTTAAGTTTTCGGCCCTAAATAAAGGCTCGCCTTCTGTTAAGTCCGGTTTTGTGTCCTCACCTCTGTTTGCTCTTGGGTCCTCCGTGACACATACTTTGTGCTGCTGATGGTTCTGAAGTCTTGGTGGATTTAGATATTTACATTCAACAGTATAAAAACAGATATCAAAGTAGCCATCAGGGCTGTTTTTATATGCATGTACTATAAAGTTAGAACATGCAAGTGTGGCACCTAAAGAACATCATCAGTTAATTTCTAGAAGCTTCTAGAAACAAGGCCTGATACTCAGCAGCCATATTAACACATCTGAGCACCTTTACGCACAGAGTTTTTCGGGGCACTACCTTATTTTGCATTTTCATCCAAAAGTGGTATTCTACCATCGTTTTTGCTGTTGCAGAATTCACCAATAGCAGATGCTTCATGAAGGGAGTGGTGCTGCTATCAAGTCATGGACACTGGAAAAAAAGTCTTGAACTCAAGTCTCAGGGATTTCTTTTGAATGAGTTATCTGTGTCTGATAGAAGTCAGTTAAGGTCATAAACTGTCTAATGTGCCTTGAAATCTATTAATTTTATGGGATCTCTATCCTTTTCCATTTTTCATTGTGCAGTTCACCAGTAGAATCAGTCCTATTTTACGGAATTACCACTCTTCACAACCTGCTGCTGCATCAAGAGGGAGCAAAGATGGCTGTGCGTCTTGCTGATGGCCTGCAGAGAATAGTTCCCTTATTGAAAAAGAGCAACCCAAAGTTTTTAGCCATTACTACAGATTGTCTGCAACTCCTGTCCTACGGAAACCAGGAAAGCAAGGTGAGAAGAGGACCCTGGAGCTGGAAAGGAGACTATTGGTCTACTTATTTTCTTTAATACCTAATCAACACTTCCTACTTCCTGTTTCTTGTCAGCTGATTATTCTAGCCAATGGGGGTCCAGAGTGTTTGGTTTTCATCATGAGAAACTACAACTATGAGAAGCTGCTTTGGACGACAAGCCGTGTCCTTAAAGTGCTGTCTGTCTGCCCCAGCAACAAACCAGCTATAGTCGAAGCTGGTATGTAACTACTGCTGAATATACTGTGGGCTTAGCGCAACATGCTACATGTTCTGTAACCATATGTTCACATGTGTGCTCAGGAGGCATGCAGGCTTTGGGGCAGCATCTTACAGGGTCTAGCCAGCGTCTGATCCAGAACTGTCTGTGGACACTCCGTAATCTGTCAGACGCAGCAACCAAACAGGTACAGTGATGACATGAAGTCACTCGTGTGTATGTAAAGATAAAGAAGCCAAAACAAATGATCGCTGGTCATTAGTTATACTGATGACTTTATATAAGCTGGTTCATGCAATATCAAGCGCATAGACAAAATATCCCATCAACACATCCCCTTAAAACCCAGAACCCTAAATGGTGCAATCTTGGCCTTGTAGATGATTTTCATTTTTTACAAAATCCTAACGGTAACTTCTAGATATGCAACACTTTGAGTGCTCAGAATAGAAAAGGTATGTAAGTATCATTTCATTTGCAAGTCACTTCAGTTAGTGCAGTTCAACAGTTGCTCTTAACTTGCTAGCTATGACATTCACACCACTGACACACAATCCTCAAGCACCATGTAATAAATTTCCATCAAAATATCAGGTAGCAAACTAGCTCATTCAGCGGATTGGAACAGGAAAAGTACTTTGATGTTCCACAATTGCCTTCACAACTGCTTCATGGAGCAATAATCATGATGATCAACAATTAGGAGAAAAATAATCCATTTGGATTTTCAGAATATACTAAATATGACATGAGAAGGAGGAGAAGATTACTATATTTATATAAGTTTTAATAACATCACGACTGTCAACTGATGCCTAGAAAAAAACCTAGTGATACTTGTTTGGTTAGACATCCTGCTCCATAAAATGTATAGAAATGTATTTATCCCAGGACATTTTGTACTTTAACTTTGTTCCAATACATCTCTGCTGTGATTGATCCTTTCTTTATCTCTATTGGTTCTGCTCTGTAGGAGGGATTAGATGGTCTGCTGCAGATACTGGTCACTCAGCTGGGCTCAGATGATGTGAACATGTTAACCTGTGCCACCGGCATTCTGTCCAACCTGACATGCAATAACTCACGCAACAAGGTAACCATGATGAGATGGCAGACACACAACTTTCAAGACTACATGGAACTAACATGTAAACAAGTACAATTTTAATGTCTTAAGGTACACAAACACTCACATACACATCCAGTATGTTGGCCTGTCCAGATTGTAAGCTGGACAGGCTCTAGCCCTAACGCAACGCTGAACTGGAGTAAAAGAAAAATCTATGATGTCACCATTTCTGTCAGGAGTACTTTCCACCACTTACAAGTGTTGTAACAGTAAAGGATTTCTAGAACGCTGCAAGTTCCAACAAAAAGGTGCGATCCTGTGTAAAATGTAAATAAAAACAGAATGCATGAACTCATATTTTTTATTATAACCACAACACAGAAAACATATCAAATGTTTAAACTGGGACATTTCACTATTTCTTAAAAAGTATTGGCTAATTTTGAATTTGATGGCAACAACATCTCTCAAAAGTTGGGACAGGGCAACAAAAGACTGGGGTGGTAAGAAACAGCAAGAAAAATGTTTTGAAAATAATTATGTTATTTGAGAAGAGGTTAGTAACACAAGTGTAAACCAATAAATAAAAATGTGCAGCGTTTTCCCTTCCCACTGTTGCCAAAGCGCTAGCTCATAGGCAGAGATGGGAAGTAGCAAAGTACAAATACTTTGTACTTAACTGTACAGATACCTGAAAACTGTATCTGTAATTTACTTGAGTAGTTTTTTCCTGGCTACTTTTTACTTTTACTTCCTACATTTTTAAACAAATATCTGCACTTTCTACTTCTTACATTTTCAAAACAGGCTTGTTACTTTTGCTTTAGCACATTTGGGGAAAGTTATTATTTTGTTACTGTGAGCCTCCAAACATCAACACGATTTAGGACTAAACAGATGAAGAGCAATTCAGTTTGTTTATTAATCACCAGAGGATGTCACACAAAAAGAGATGGTGTGTGCTAAAGTCATGGGTTAAAAGTGGTGTTTTTTTTTTGTTCTTGCCACAACACCAGAATGTGGTACTTCGGCATCTAGCAAGTCCAACTAAAGAGGAGTGATCATAAAGGGAGTGACTTTTTTGCAATGTTTCTATCAGCTCAACAGACATCAGCAAACACACAAACTGTCTTTAAGTAAATAAAAGTACGTGTGACTGGTGCACAGTGGCTGTGGTTTCATGAGTCAGAGTGAGGTTACATCAAATATAGGAGAGATTCATATGAATTTGATGATCCTTAGATCCACTGACTAATTCCACCTTCATACCAACTTTATACCATCTGGGAAAAAGACATCATAAACAGCGTAGTGTCAGTATAGAGGATGGAAATCACCCAGGAGAACTCGTGAAACATCTGCTGACATCTTGTTGAATTCAGTTCCCATCTGATATTATTTAATTTTATTTTATTTAATGTTAATATAGCACAAGGTTCAGTTAGCTTTGCACAAAAATGTCTCCAAATGTCTTTGAGTACATTTCAGAGCCTCTACTTTGTAACTTTTACTTGAGTATTCTTACTTCAGTACAGAATATCTGTACCTTTTCCAACTCTGCTAATAGTGGCTTATATGATTGTTAGAGTTTTCTCTATTTTCTTTGTGTTGTTGTAGGGTCTATCGTACAATATGAAGCACCTTGAGGCAACTGTTGTGATTTGGTGCTGTATAAATGAGTGAATTGAATTGGATAGGCTGTCCACACTAGTCTACACTAGTGTGGACAGCCTATCCAATTCAATTCACTTATTAAACAAGACTACTCTTGTTTAACAGAAGTTTAACAGAAGTTACCAACTGGCTCTCTAGGAATGATCTTGTTTTAAACACCAACAACATTGAGACCATGGTTGTAGCTCCTCCTGAAATATATCTTAGAAACATTCAGGCTCTTGCTTTTGTTTGTTCAACTAAGTTCAGCATTCGAAGTCTTGGTGTAATACGACTCACATCTTTCAGTTAGGAACATTTCTAAGTTGTGACATATGGTCTCATCAGCCAACCTGGAAAAAATTATCCATGCATTTATGTCATTGCATTTAAATAATGGTAATGCCCGGCTTGGACTAATCGTTTCTTTCACGCCTTCAAGCTATAGAAAGTGCTGCAGCCAGACTATTAACACGTTGTAGCAAGCTCACATTACTTCTTTTTTATATTCTTTACACTGGCTCCAAATAGTTTTTAGGATTTGTTTTAAAATTCAGTATACAGAACAAGCTCCAGATTTCATTTCTCAACTTCTTAAAAAAGACACTGCTGTCTTTGTTCACAGGCTCAGAGTTTATTAGTTGTTCTCCGTATTGTGGGGCGGCGCAATGATTGGTGATTAGCACTGTTACCTCACAGTAGGAAGGTTCTGAGTTCCAACATTAGACCAGGGTCTTTCTGTGTGGAGTTTGCATGTTCTCCCTGTGTTTGCGTGGGTTGATCTCTCCGGATACTCCGGCTTCCTCCCACAGTCCACAGACATGCAGTCAAGTTTTAAAATACACAAAACACACTGCTGGCAAATATCATTTTCTAAATGAGCAGAAGCTTGTGCATATTGTACAATATACACAAGCTTAGGTGCGATGTTCTGGGCTTTTATAAATCCATTTTTACGCATGCTGGCGTAGTATGAAGACATACTACTATGAATATTTCCTGAAATTCTTAAGTTCTTATTGCCAACCAAAGTCATTAAAAATATCAGATTAAATAAACGGCCAACAGATTTTATTTGTTCATGTGTGATTGTGTCACAGTGGTCATGAACACCTCAGCTGTGTACACATTTCAATTCTAAAGAACGTCAGTTTAACAAAGCGATGTAACTTAATGTTTACTTGTCTTTGTTTTGATGTGTGGATTCACATTTGTATTTCATGGTGAAAAACCCAGATTTCTGTTCCCCATGTGTTCCTACAGACGCTGGTGACTCAGTATGGTGGAGTGGAGGCATTGATCCATGCTGTGCTTCGTGCTGGCGAGAAGGAGGATGTTGCTGAACCTGCGGTCTGCGCCCTGCGGCATCTCACCTCCCGCCACCAAGATGCCGAGCTAGCCCAGAATGCCGTGCGTCTGCACTATGGTGTCCCAGCTATTGTTAAACTACTGGGCCAGCCCCACTACTGGCCTGTAGTAAAGGTAAGGACAGACAGTGATGTATACTATTAGAGATAACATGCATTGGAGCTGGTAACTAAATTAGCCTCTGTGGGTCAAAAGAATTGGAAGAAAGGAAAGAAAAGGACGGGAACAGAAAGGAAAAGAGAAAAGCACCTTTGATACTTAACCAACCCTTCATTGGTCCAGCTTTCCATTCATAAAACTTCATGTTACTGCATATGTTGAACGCATTCATGATGTTCAACATATTAAAACGGAAGCCAGCCTGAGGCAGGTAAGCCAAGGGTATTGCAGTGTCTCCTCAGCATAGCAGAAAATGCAACAGCTTCCTTCCTTTTTGGATTTATATGTGCCGTGTCTTTTTGTATCAACAGTCCCTTGCACCATTGTCCTCTGGAGAGCTGCACTACATATCTTTATGAGAGGTTTACACAGGGTCCTTCTCCACCCCTAGTAATGACCTTTATCCCAACACAAAAAACTACCTTTACTCCTGGATATGGGCCAAACATGCTTTGGCCCATGCTTGCTTGTGGTTTCCTCTGGTATAAAGAAGTAGAATGGCAAGCACAGCTTTTAGCTTTCAACATAGTCTTTTACAGAACATATTCCCAGTTTGTATTCAGGAGTCACCCCCTCTACTTTTTAAGATTAGGCTTAAAACTTTCCTGTTTGATAAAGCTTATAGTAAGGATTGGATCACGTGACCCTGAGCCATGCATTAATTAGCTGCAATAGGCCTAGGCTGCTGGGGGCTTTCCATGATGCTGGAGCGTTTCTTCTTCACCTCTTTTCACTCTCAGTTTATACATCACTCTGCATTTCATCATTAGTTAACTTTCATCTCTGGCTCTCTTCCCCAGTGTTTTTTTTTTCACTGTTTCCCTCCCCTTAACCTCATTCCAGAGTCTAGTTCTTCCAGAAATTGCTTCCCATTGTTGCCAAATGCTTGCTCCTAAGCTACAGGAGGTAGAGCAGGTCCCAGCTGGTAATGGTAAAACCATCATATTTTACATTTTGGCCAGTGGACCTTTGTGGAAGAAGCTGAAGCATCAGTACATCAGTATATGTTGACAAGTTCACTGTGCTTTTAATTGCTTCTGGAAAAGTTCAACCTGTGAGACCCAAAGGCAAGCAGAGGAAATTACTTTTCCAAGTCATTATGCAAGAAGATGGAGCAGGATTGATACATAAATGAAGTCTGGAGGGAATAATGGACAATGTGGGTAAGAATGTTGTTGTAGAAAGCTAGTTGGCCCTTCATCTGATCATTTAAACCCTGGAGAAATACTCCTTGTAATGCATTATCTGGCCAGCTCGCTGTGGCGGCCACAGTTTGAAACTTAACTAAGAACTCAGCTATGCTGCGGATGCCCTGGCATAGATCAAACAATCTTTTAGCTAAACTGCCCTCAGATATAGGTGAGCAAATTTCTTTCTCAGCTCATTCATATGGGAAGGTAGAAATGGAATGATAAATGAAAAAACCTCAGCCCACGCCAGCGCTTTCCCCCTGATTGCATTGGACAGCTTAGTGGCATCATTAGGGAAAGAGCAGGACGAGCAACCCAAAGCTAGCGCACATTGTAACAAAAAACCCCAGCTAGGTGAGTTCTCCAACTCCTTTTAGATTTCCCGTAGCCTGTGGGTTCGCATCAGCAGCAGGAAACAGGTGAATAGCAATAGGTTGCAGACCAGCTCCTGAAATCTGAGTAATGAGCAGAACATGCTACGTTCAGTACGTTCAGTTTGGTGGGTGTGTGGGTGTGCAAAGAGTCTGACAGTTTAGTGGCCCGGCTCAGTTTAAAATGTGTAACAGACTACGAGTCACTGGTACCTCTCGTTAACAAACACAGCTTGGACAATGTGCCACTATGGTACCAACATCTTCTCATGAGGCTCCTGGGATTCAGTCCAGTATTGGAGCATGTCCTGGGAAATACTCTTATCATTGCAGACACCCTGTCACATAGCCCGTAGCTAACACTTTCACAGAGACTGGAACACACAGTGATGTGGCATGCTATGTTGCTAGTGGTAGATTCCTGTGTCCACCAGCAAATCAGAATGGCAACAGAGCCAACACGGAACTGCAGTCTTTCATGAAACTCCCCAAAACAGCATAGACTTAACACATAAGCAAAGTACTGTCATATACTGGGTTGCCTGAGTCGAGCGGGTGGGCGTTGCGGCTTTACGTCACCATGACATGCTTTGCGGCAGGGCTGTCTATGTGCAGTTCTTCTCTTAGCTGCCACACCCATTGTTGTGCTGTTATAACCCATGCTGGATACACCTTCAATAAAGCAGCATCATAAGAAAGCTACCGAGTGCTCATTCTACATGATGTCAGAAGTGACCCGGACCATCGCCGGAATAACGCCATAAGGGAGAAAACAACAGAATGGCTAAGTTTAATCCCCCGTCAAGCTTCCCTTTCGATAAGCCGACGGAATGGCCCGACTGGAAACAGCGTTTCGAGCGCTACAGGATCGCAACGAAACTCCACAAAGACGAAGGACAAGTACAGGTGAGCTGCCTAATCTATGTGATGGGAAATGAAGCAGAGAACATTTACAAGTCACTCACCTTCGCCGCCGATGAAAGACGTGACGACTTCGCTGTCGTAATGAGGAAGTTCGACGAGTATTTTTTCCCGCAGAGGAACATTATACATGAGAGAGCATGTTTTCACCAGCGTGTCCAGCGGCCAGGTGAAACGGCGGAGAGTTTTATCCGAGCCCTGTATGACCTCTCAGAGCACTGTGAGTTTGGTGCATGTAAAGAGGAAAATATCCGCGATCGTATTGTGGTCGGGATACGAGACAAGGACCTCTCCCGCAGGCTACAGCTGATGAAGGACCTCACGTTGGCGCAAACGACCCAGATTGTCAGACAGTCAGAGGTGGTCGCAGCGCAGGTCAGCTTGCAGGGAGATGCGGGAGGCTCAGTACAGGAGGAGAGCTGTTATGTCTCGGCTACTTCAAATTCAAATTTTATTTGTCACGTACACAGTCATACACAGTACGATATGTAGTGAAATGCTTGGACAACTGCTCGTGACCTACTTAAAGGCCACAATAAGTTATGAAGGCAAAGACTACCTATCCAAGGTGTATGTGGTTCGTGGACGCAGAGTTAGCAACCTTCTCAGCCGCTCCTTGTCAGTGCAGATGAACCTGGTGAGAAGAATTGATGAAGCAACGATCACACCCACCAGGAACCAACCACTTTACGGTGAACACGGAACACTAAAAACTGAGCCAGTCAAAATTCAGTTAAGGGACGATGCTGTGCCATACGCAGTGTATACGGCACGCCGTGTGCCTTTCCCCATGCTGCAGAAAGTGAAGGAGGAACTACAAAGAATGGAGAACCATGGTGTCATTGAGAGGGTGACCCAACCTACCGAATGGTGTGCCCCAATGGTGCCTGTCTTGAAGAAGAACACAGCAAGGGCCAGGATCTGCGTCGATCTGACAAAACTGAATAAGTCTGTCAAAAGAGAGCGCTATATCTTGCCTACCCCTGAGGCAACCATGTCCAGGTTGAGTGGGGCAACGGTCTTCTCCTCGCTGGATGCAGCCAGTGGATTTTGGCAGATCCCATTGCATCACGAGAGTTGCAAACTAACGACATTCATCACGCCATTTGGCAGGTATTGCCAAATAGGCTGCCCTTTGGGATAACAAGTGCACCAGAGATCTTTCAGCGAAAGATTTTGGAGACCTTAGAGGGGCTAGAAGGTGTGGAGGTCTTTATGGATGACATCCTGGTCTATGGGGCCACCATGGAACAACACGACACCCGACTTGAGAAGGTGCTGCAGCGCATTGAGTTAGCCGGATTGAAGCTCTCAAGGAGAGAAGTGCTCCTTCAGACAGAGCCAGCTTCGCTTCCTAGGGCACCTGATCGACTATTCTGGGGTCAGGCCAGACCCTAAGAAAGTGAACGCCATTCTTCAGCTGCCGTCACCAGAAAATGTGCAAGAGCTTAAACGGATCCTAGGAATGGTTAATTACCTGGGCAGATATATTCCTGCTCTTGCCACAGTATGCCAGCCACTGTACGAGTTGCTTAAAAGCAAAAACAGTTGGACCTGGGATCACCCACAGCAGGCAGCCTTCGAGAACATAAAGAGAGCGCTTACATCAGCACCTGTTCTTGCCTTCTATGACGTCAACAGACTCACAGCCGTATCTGCCGATGCCAGTAGCTACGGGCTTGGGGCTGTGCTGCTTCAGCTTCATGGTGCAGAGTGGAAACCTGTTGCCTACTGCTCTAGACGCCTCACGGAGGCTGAAACACGCTACGCACAAATCGAAAAGGAGTGTTTGGCAAGTGTTTGGGCCTGTGAGAAGTTTGATAAGTATCTATGTGGCTTAGATCGCTTCAGGCTTGAGACCGACCATAGACCTTTGGTGCCCCTGGTCAATAGCCGGGACCTTGACAATGTTCCATTGAGGTGTCAACGCCTCCTGATGAGGCTCATGAGGTACAAGCCGGAGGCCATCTATGTCCCTGGCAAAACGCTTGTCATCGCCGATACGTTGTCACGAAGTCCACAGACTCGGGCTGAGGATGACACTAGCACTCACAGTGAAGTGGACTGCTACATAGCCACCGTGTTACAGGGCATTCCAGCGTCCCCAAGCCGAATGGAAAGCATTAAAGCAGCCACTGCAACGGATGTTGAACTACAGACTGTCATTACGTACATACGCAGGGGTTGGCCTGCATACGGAGCTAGTGTGCCATTGAACATTAAAGCGTACATGAAAGTGAAAAACGAGCTATTAGAGGCTGACGGCCTGGTTATACGAGGCTGCAGAATCGTCATTCCAAAGTCACAGAGAACAGCCATTCTACACAAACTACATGAAGGGCACCAAGGCCTCGCCAAGTGCAGGGATAGGGCTAATTCATCTGTGTGGTGGCCGGGGCTCTCCACTGAGCTAAAGAATGCAGTGCTGCAGTGCCACACATGTCTGGCACAGAGGCCAACACAGACAAGGGAG